GTTGCGGTTGTTGTTGTTGTTGTCGTTGTTGCTGTCGTTGCTGTTGCTGTTGCTGTTGCTGTTGCTGTTGCTGTTGCTGTTGCTGTTGCTGTTGTTGTTGTTGTTGCTGTTGGTGGTTGTGGTGGTGGTGGTGGCGGCCCTCCCTTCCCCTCGACTCTACCCCCAACGCCCACTTCCCTCGGGATTCATCCTGCGTCTCCACGATGGCATGCAGCTCCTCCTGGCGCGTCGTCGTGCGACTTTGCCAGTCCTGCACCGGTGCTTGAATTGGAATTTGTGGCGTTCCGTATGGCTTGAGGGGCGGTTGAGTCTTCGCAGTTGAACCCAGGCCTGCAAGAGTGGGAAAGATGTGGCTTTTGCACGTGCTGGCCGGCTCCCCTGCCCTTCGCATCCCTCGGGAGTCTTGGTGTCTCTCACGACCTCTCTCCTGCACGAGGGTTTTACCAGCAAGCAAAGCGCAACGACTAAAGTCCTGCTCTTGCTGGGCGCAGCTCTCTTTCGTGTCGGCAAGGAATTGCGAATCCTCCTGCACCACCAACCCGAAGGGTAATGAATGTCAAGGCAAGAGGGCCAGGGGCTGCTGCTCGAAACCTAAACTGCTTGTGACGGCGATAGTGCAAGATGCGCTGAAGACTGGACCGAATCAGTGATTATCTCGCCTTGCCTTGACCTTCTTGTTGCTATCATCAATCGATGACTGCGTGTTGACCATGTCCACACTGATTTGGCCAATCCTGGCATAATCTCGAAAGCAGCACATGTCGTTGCCCGAGCCGTTCCATGTCAGAGCACCGAAGCAATTCTTGCGACTTCAGGGCACTGCGCTTGATGTTGCAAGCCAACCCAAGCTCAGAAACGTAAAGGCTAGGGAATCAAAGGCGGTACAAGCAGCTACAAGCTGGCGCGCCTTGTGGTTTTGGCCTCAATTTCGGTGTCCTCAGGCTGAGCAGATCAACAACACTGTGCTTGGAATGCTGTGCCCATTATTATGTTTGTTGCAGTTGATACAACTAAAAAGCTTGTTGTTGGTATTTCTGCCGTCGGCACCACCACCGCCCAACACCATCACCTCGACGACCGCGACGGCACTCGTCCCTCGCCTTTCTTCTGCCAGCGGCACCTTGCCGCAACCCAGGCGGCCTGGCCTCCCCCCTCCATTGGCGTTCTGAAGGAAACGCGATATGACACGGCTGAAGCTGCTCATAGTTCAATCACGGGCCTGGGACTGCTCAGTAGCAATCCTTGCCTCACTCTGTTGCTACTGCTGTCACTGCCATTACGACTGATGCAAGACCGCGATCATCGGAACAGTCAGCATGTCTATGTTCAGCAGCATCGCCATCATATCCATCATCAGAACCACCATCGTCATCACCACGATCCTCATCAACATTGAACCATTATCATATTCTTCTCTATCATCATCATCATCAGTATCACCGTCATCAGCACCATCATCATCATCATCATAGTCATAACCATGGTCATCAAAAGTTCTGCCGTTTTCACTATCATCATCTTGACTACCACCATCATCAACCATTGTATGCTCATGTGAGCAAGTTGGTCTGTATGACACTGGATTCACATGGCTAACGGCAATGTTCTACCAATTGCAAGATCAGTGTGTCTGTGAGCTTCGCGCCAGGGTCGCCATTTCTGCTGTTTTCGCACGGGCCATGCCGAGAAAGGACTGCTGGGCCTGGCGTGAAAGCGTCGTCAGACTGACAAGCTTCACAGTCGCAGAGACTCAGGGTCCGTGTTCGTGGGATTTCGTGGGTCAGGGGATGTCACGGCTTTAGGTTCTGTGCGGCGCTTTGGGCGCGGATTTACTAAGGCCTGTTGCTCGACACGGTCTCAAACAGATCACGCTGAACTCGCCCTGTCAGCCTCTACGAGCCTGCCATAACCTGCCTGTATTTTCAAGGTTTCGTGTGAGTTTTCCACGGTCTAAAGTTTCAAACCTCCTGCGTATGCAAGGCCTGGGGCTGACTGGGGACCTTCCAAAAAGGCTCGATGTCAGAAACTTCAAAGCTTGAGGATCGCTGCGTCCGTGAGGGCTGAACCCCGCACCGGAGCGTTGGGAGCAGAAACCCAAGAAATCAAGAAGCTGCTGACCTCGAGCTCATAGGAAGCTGATGTCATACTTTGACAGAGACGTTTTTAAACTGCACCACCTATCCGAAAACCCCTGGTGCCCCCAGATACCTTGCAGATAAACAACATAGAATCGGAATCTGCAGCTGTCCCTTCACAAGATTTTATGACAAAACGAGGCCCCGAAGATATGAAGCCAGGATCCACATGAAAACTCACGCAGGCATGTCCCTGCAGGCAACTTGCAACACAAGGCCGCACTCGAAGCCTTCCAGGCCCCACACGCTGGAATCCAAACTTCATGTCTATTGCTAGCATCCTCATGGTCGTTGTAATTGTTCATTCAGTGGCTTCACACCCGTCTTATCGAGGCACTTGCAACCCGAAAGTCTGAGCGTGAGTGCGTGTGTGTGTGTGTGTGTTTGTGTGTGTGTGTTTGTTTTTGTTTGTCAGTTTGTCTGCTTGTTCATCTGTTTGTTTGCTCAGCGGCAATGCCAACAACGCAACCCGTGCCGTACTCTTATCCGCATCCTTCAAGGTACATGTCGAGAAGCTCGTGCCCTACATCGTTCCACGAAGGTCCTGCCTCACTTTCACGTGCATCTGCAGCAGCTTGGTCCTCCAGCCGATGAGCTGGACGAGGCATGTGTGAAGTTTTACCGTGTACATCACCAAATAACATGTGTGACGAAATTGATTGGATGCAACAATCCCAAGAATTCTCCGCATTTGACACCCTCCTTTTGTTCTCGTTTCATCAACAAAATTACCGGGGTAACCGTGCTTCAATCTCCACCTCTGTACAAGTTGGCGACCACAACGCTTCAAACTCTTATGGCTTGTGCATGCTTGTGCCAACGCGAGCCTCACAAGGTCTTCCTTGCCTGTTTTGTTTTTGTTTTTGAAATCGGTGTGACAGGAGTGTCGATCGTGACTGAGAGTCCCCTTCGTAGCAATGGGTGGCTCCTGCTTCACATCCTGATTCTTCATGTAGTACGTACGATCTGCCTCTGACGAGTCCTAGGCGTTTCATCAGTCGAGTCCTGGCAAGGCACATCGGGGTTAAAAGTTCTGCCTCTCATATCGTGTGGTCCATCATAAACAAGAACTAAGCGGTTTACCACTTGGTGCTACCGACATGTCATGTGCGAGGCAAATGGCTTAACTCCCTTCCTTATGCCTTTTGCCCGCATGAAACATTTTTGTGCAGACTTGGCCTGCATGTGCTCCCGGAACAATGCGCGCAGTTCATACAGCACGGATGCGTGCGGGATCGAACGAAGGCACTCTCGCTGGGATTCCAGTTGCCGCTGACTCTAGATGTAGCAAGGATGCTTGCAGCGTGTGCCGCCTCGACGAAGCGAAAACCCATGCAGGCTAGTTTATCTGAGTTGTGAACTCAGAAGTATACCTACTAGCCATGCCACTCCTGCTTAGTGTGAAGACTGCGCTATGATACCGATCACGCACCCAGCTCTCGAGATTGCCAAAATATCGCATGCCGGAAGAAAGCAGAAGGAATGGAACTACGCCCCTGGCCTTGCACATGACATGTCGATAGCACCATGTGGCAAAGCCGCTTCCGTCTTGTCTATGATGGACCACACGATTTCAGAGGCAGAACTTCTGACCCCGATGTGCCCTGCCAGGGTCGCGGCACGCTAGCATGCCGAAAATTTGTCCCTCGCTTTGAGTTCTAGCAAGGGCCCTGTCACCATGAAGCATGCTATTGTCCTCCAGCATTGCGTGCACAGCGGATCTCGGCGAGAACATGACATCCGCCACGAAGCTTTTAACAAAATGCGCGGATGGCAAATCCCAACTTTCGGCACGAATGTTCTGCTCCGAACAGATCACGTCTCCGTGCGGGTCATCCACAGGCGTTTCTGGAAGTTGCCTCTAGAAGCACTGGTAGTGTCAACTATGTACCATACGGGCGTCATCTCCTTCAGGAGAATCCCCATCTGGATCTTTTCGGCCATGTCACTGAACCGATATCCTGTGATGTGCTTCTCGACCAACTACGCGGGACACTTCCCATCTGCAAGTCGGCAGGAGAAGGCAACGTAGGAAGGTGGGAACGTTCGGCCTTTCGACGCATTTTGTCAAGGTCACCTTTCTGGAACATGGCCCCTGCAAGACACGTTGCTGAACCCACTCACTAATGCCGGAATGCTGCGGGTTAGCTCATGAACACGGCCTGAACTGCTCACGATCACTCCACGACGGGACAGGGCAAACCTCACTGAGGATCAATTTTGATCCAAATCGAAAAGATTTGGCCTGTCCGTTTCATTCTGGACATTTACGGAGCTTGTGCCGACGCCAAAGATAGCTTCATTGTCGTTTGGAGTTGTGTGTGTGTGTTGATACACGCAGGTACGTCAATACATAGATGTGGATCTAAACGGATGTGCGAATATGCTATGTGCACCAACTATGATATGACATAACAAGACGTTTCGGTTTATCGATTATTGTGATACCATACTTTATATTATTATACCTGATTATGAGACCATCTATTTTCCCTAAATTTATGACATTTTGGTACAGCATGTCTGTATGTGCTATGCCAAGTCACACTTCGCTGTGCTCGGTTATACATCCATCCATCGATGCATGTATATATCTATCCTAGAACATCTGCGTCGATGAGCCTCTGTCGTTCCTTAAGGGGCATGGCAGCTATGCAGGAGGACCACGGGCGATCTCTGCGCAGACAGATGCACACATGGCCCGTCCTCCTTCATGGAGTCCCTCATCGACCTTGGTCGCAACTTCGAGATTCAGAGTCAATGAACAAATCATTTAGTGGATCCTAAAACCTGAGCAGTCGTCTGAATGCACCGCCAAGAACCTTAGTCCTCAAACTGCCGAGCCACTGCAGCGTGCCCACCACCATGCTGCTGCTCGGACTGGTGGCAGAGGCGTCTTCCGCTGCAAAGATGCTCGCCAGCGCATCGCGGTCAGAGACCCTTTGCGCACACATGCATGGACCCTTCATGACACCTGCTATGCCTCCTTGCATGACAGTCGATGAACGGCAGCGATGCTGAGGGTGCTTGAAAACATTCTTCAACTGTCACTTACACAGCTGTCTGTCCTGAGGTTGGCCGAGGAAACCATCTGGCGCAGCACGTCGGCATCAGTCGTCTGCAGGAAACTGCCTCATGGAATTAACACTCACACTCATACAAGCCGTCACTGCAACACTTCAACAGCACAGTAGTCGCCTGCCAGCCCCTTCTCGAGTGCAGCCATAGCATTCTCAACCGCTGCAATGCTTTTCTCGGCTTCGGCCTGGCGAGCACTCGGAAAATAACACTTGGCATCGTGGGGTTCAGGGTTTACGGTCAAACAAGATCGTTATACCGTTGGCAGAAAAGCTTCTAACAACAAGGAGAGTCACTGTGCTGTATCAAATGATCTAACGGCAAGAAGCAGCAAGTTAGCGCAAAACGTACAAATAACTCTTCGCACTGCAGAACGAAGGTGGTGGTGGTGGTACGTAAGCAAGACAAACACGCTCTTGACACCGGTGACTGGTGACCCGTTCTGTGTTTGCAGTGGCATGAAACTGCACGAATCAATAGAAGCACACATGGTCCTTCAAAGCGACATAGTCCTTGGAGTCTTTCTGCCTGCAGCGTGGCAAGCATGGATTGCCAGCCGAAGCGGACTGCATAACGGCATCACGCAACTGACTGCACAGCCAAAGCTCTAAAGCCTTGGCGACTTCGCGGCAACCTCCGTACATACGAGGCACTGCTCCTCTTGAGTAAACGAAGCACTACATAAACATGTCTCAGTATCCTCTCAACCATGACCTAGGCAAAATGTCTGCAACCCGAACATCAGGCCGAAGTCCCAGAAAAACAAACTGAGCAAACAAGAGCAGGAAGCCTAAAACGCCATCCGGAAACCCGAAGCCATCAAGCCCCAACTACGCAGACATCTCCGGAATACCGAAAGGCGCCTCAGCTCCCTGGCGCCCTTCAGGGCCGCCAGTGCCTCGGACTTGTCCACAGAGGCCTGCTCCTGGGGGAAGACAGAGACCACCAAACTCTTTCGGGATCTAGTGTGAAGCAGCAGCCAGTACTTCTGTGGATGGGCAATCCTGCACCACTTTTCAGAAGCGTCGTTTAGTGGCTCCCCCGCACTCGCTTTTGTTTGCACTGGCTGTGAAAGGCCATGGGCCGGATTTGTTCCAGCGGCCGAAATCTTGCACCGCTCAAGTAGTCCTAGCTGCCAACGTTCAGTAGGATGTGCGGGGTTTCATGCCTCAATCGTTTTGAAGTATGCATGTATGGGTGTGGCTGACAGTTCAAGCTCGTAACACAACCCCACGCCCAGCTCTGAGGGTTGGTTGCATCATCATCGTCATCACCATCGTCGGCATCCATGTATCACAGAAACAAAACTCCACAACTTAAAACAAACAACTAAGACGTAACACAGACAAACAACAAGACCAAGACCACTCCAAACCAGCCCAAAACTCGAGAGATAGCAGCGTCC